CTCCATCAGGGTCAGTACTGGCTACTCAAGACTGGCAGCAGCTCTCCAGGGTCTCAGGCAGAGGTCTTTCCAGTCACCTGCTGGCTGGTCCTTTTAACTGGAAATGGCAGGGATTCATTGGACCCTATGCATTTTGGCATGCAAAGCAGAGGCTCTTTCCCTGAGTCAGAGCCCCACCCTCACCTATTGCTGCTTCATTATTTATCTAATAGCCAACTGGCTGTTTCCTATGCAGACGACCAAAGCAGCAAAAACAGACCACCAGACAAGGTACGTATGTATATATTCAGGTAATTCTCCAGGTATGCTGAGAAACAGGATTCCAAGCTCTGCCCATATACGGAATGACAAACAGAAAATTGTAATTTGTAGTTAAGTTTGAGTGACTTGTTAAGTCAGATCCCATCAACACATTTCCACTGATGGAGGACGTAGGCAGTTTTTGTCGATTCCTCCCTTCTGGTAGCAGACCACAGACTCTCTGTTTTGTATTGGAGGGAATCTCCTGTCCTCTGTGAATACATTTCGGAAGGATTTTTGGGGTTGCAGCTGGAGGCGGAAGGTGAGAAAATCCCTTCTGTCAGCGGAGATTTACAGTGTGATCCAAGCCACTGTCCATTCTTGATCCCAAGGATCAGGACTAGCTATTTTGGATAATGGGAAAGGAGAAGGAATCTTGTCCCAGACAGGCAAAATCTATCAGTCTATCATATTTCTATCTCACCCTTCCTCTAAGGAGCTCAGGGCAGCATAATGTGGTTCCTCTATCCTCCATTTTATCCTCACAACGACCCTGTCAGGTGTGGATGAGAGTGAGCAACTAGCCCAAGACCGTCCAGGGAGTTTCATGACACTGTGAGGATTTGACTACAGGTCACCCAGGTCCTGTGACACTCTGAAACCACTACACTGGACAGTAAGAGTTCTGAAAAAGCAAAGAAAGGGAAATAAGACATACTTTTAACAAAATATACGTAACACCTATAAAAAGGACATTCATTTTAAAAGGGGTTAATCTCAGCTGGAAATATCTATGGTTACAGTAGTAGAAGTACAATCACCTCCCCTTTCCACCTGTTGGGGCAGCTGGCATTTCAAACCCACTGTCGCTATATAGATCACATTTTAAATATCTGATTAAAGAAGAAGAGTTGGTTTTATACCCCACTCTTCACTACTCGAAGGAGTCTTGGAGCACCTTACAATCGCCTTCCCTTCCTCTCCCCACAACAGACACCCTGTGAGGTAGGTGGGGCTGAGAGAGCTCTGAGAGAACTGTGACTGGCTCAAGGTCACCCAGCTGGCTTCATGTGGAGGAGTAGGGAATCAAACCCGGTTCTCCAGATTAGTTCCCACCAATGCTCCCTCTAAGATGTGGAGTCTTGTGAGCAAAAATTCTACTTTGTGAGCCACTGGCATTGAAGTGAGTGAGCGATTTGGCTCCTCCATAAATTAGTTTGTTCTGGAGCCATCCTTCCTGAGCTAAGACAAAAACGTGTGAGCTGGAGGCTAAAAACACTGAGATAGCTCACACTAACTCAGCTTAGAGGGAACACTGGTGCCCACCATTCTTAACCTCTACACCATGCTGGCTGTCATTTATTTGACTGATCGCACCAATGAGCCTATTCATGATTTCGATCCCAGTAGGATTTGACAACATTTCCAGCTGAAAAAGGACATTTAATAATCTGGAAATTGCCTTCCATCTCTCTGGAAGCCTTCCTTTGTGGAAGGAAGGAGCAAGGAATTGTTATAATGAAAATTCATCTGCTTAAGTTAACTAAGGTCCCTGCCATACGGCAGGAAAAATGACGGCAGAAGTGCGGCTAATCTGAGCCGCACTAAACTAGAGACGCCGCGGTGGGATCCCACGGATCCCCTGAGCCGCGGCACCGTTGCTCCCCGGCACGATCAGATGCCGGGGAGAAAGCGACGGTGGGAGGGGGAGGCTGGCGAACTGTGCATGCTCACACATGCGCAGTTCGGCCAGGAGCCGGGGATGCGCCGGCGAAAGGACGCGCCGGCGATCCCACGGCCGCACTTGCCGCGGCCTTTCCGGATGAACCACCCAGGTAGGTGGTTCTTTTTTGGTGCGGGGTTTGGTGCGGGAGGGACGGATCAGTGACGGGCAGGCAACGCTTCCCAGATGTTGCTGTGGGATCGCACTCATTTGCCGCGCATCCGATCCGTCCCTCTCCCGGCCCAAATCCTCGTGTATGACCGGGGCCTAAGATTTCCAAATGCCCCATAGAGTTTGGGAAAGACCAGAGATGTTTGTCTTCTTCTGTACATTTTCTCTGTCTTTCATATATTTTCTCTTCCCCCTGCTCTGGGCACATCATCCTATCTCTTCTCATCTTCAAGAATACAATTTAAAATGGCGGCCATGCCACTCATGCAACCCACATTAGCTCAGGGTGCAGCATAGTTGTGGGTCACAATCCACCAGCTGAAAGTGTTAGGAGAGACAGACAGGCATGTGGAAGGAAAGTTGGTGTTGATTGGACCCACAGGAGCAGAGGGTATGAAGTAGCTGCACTGTGACTCAGAAAAAATTCGGCCTCAAAAGATGGACAGTGGCGCTAAGGTTATGTAGTCTTGATTTGAAAAAGGCATCAGGGATAGCCAACGATTGAAGACATCAGGGGCTACACTCTCAGGGAAACATTTCCTTGGATTCTTATGTATATAACCACGCACATGCACAATTTACATTTTTTTAAAAATCCTTTAATAAAAATGTACCATGTTAATTATAACACTAATTTCTAAACATTCAAATTGAAATTAAACGGTGTCCCTGTTGGGAGCACAGTATGCATTCCACAGTGTATGCCTTGATGAAGTACAGTTTGGCTGCTTTCCAGAACAAACTAATTCAGGCTTTTGAGGAGGAAAAAAAACAGACATGTGAGATAAGCAGGCAAAGGCAAGGGTGAGTGAAATTTTGGGTCTCAGGGCCAAAAGAACAGCAAGGGAGCAATCCTAAATTAGCCATTCTGCTAAAAAGTAAGTCCTGTTTTAGTCAACTGGGCTTACTCACAGGAAAATCTTCTTAGGATCACAGCCGTAGTTGCTGAAAAGTTTCTCGCATTTTCAATATGCTAACATTAATGAACTAATTATTTGCCTATGAAATTTTAATCACATTTTTAATACAACAAATATGCAGAATAAACATGCTACATTCAAGAACTCTGTTATCATTCTGTTGTCCAACAGTCCATAAATAGATTTCATTTCCTTCTTTCTTTGTTTCCTATTTAGGACCAATACCCATGGTGACAGAACTGGCAAGTTATGGGTTCTGATTAAGTAAGTGGAAAATGTGAAAAATCAAACACGCGCTGTGAGACAGGCGGACTAATGGATTATAAAGAAGATCAGGCAATATGTGCTGTGACAGTATTATATCACAAGGGAAAAAGCTACAAAATAAACCAACCAACCAAAAGCTTTCCATACTTAGAAGTTTACAAAATGATGCATGGGGTGGAGAAACTAGATAGAGGGAGCTCCCCCCCCCCCATAATAGTAGAACTCGGGTGCACTCAATGAAATTGTTGGGAGATAGATTCAGAACAGGCAAAAGGAGAAAATCTTCTACTCAATGAGTAATTAAACTGTGAAATTCATGGACAGCAAAGTAGCGATGGCCACAAGCATAGATGGTGTTAAAAGAGGATTAGACAGAGTCATGGAGGAGAATATGAAGGGGACCTCCATATACAGAGGCAGTAAACCTCTGAATACCAGTGCTAGGAAGCAGCATCAGGCCCTTACCCTCTGTTTGTTGGCCCTCCAGGGCAACTGGTTGGCTGCTGTGAGAAACAGGATGCTGGACTTGATGGCCACATGGCCTGATCTGGCAGGCTCTTCTTACATTCGTATTGGTTAATTAATGTATTACGATTTATTAACATATTTATATCCTGCCTTTCCTCTAGGTTCAAGCTGGTGTATAACAACAGAGTGGTCAACTGTATCAATGGCTGCTGAGAGGTCCAACAGGATCAACAGGGAGGATTGTTTCCCCTGTTCAACTTTAGACAAAGACCGTCCACCAGTGCAGTCTGGCGTAGTGGTTAAGTGTCTGGACTCCCATCTGGGAGAACTGGGTTTGACTCCTCACTCCTCCACTTGCAGCTGCTGGATGACCTTGGGCAAGCCGTAGTTCTTTCAGAGCTGTTCTCTCAAGACAGCTCTGGAAAGGGTGTCTGTTGTGGGGAGGGGAAGGGAAAGGAGTCTGTAAGGCACTCTGAGTGAAGGGTGGGGTATAAATCCAATCTCCTCCTCCTCCTCCTGCCATCTTGGTACAAAACCAGACTGATGGCAGATGGTCGATGGCAGATGCATCATTCAGGAAACCCGAAACATTCATATTTGTTGAGATAATCCAGATCCAGACCATGGTAGTTGGAAACATTACTGTAGGCGTTCAAGTTTCATGCTTTGGGAGCTTTTCTTTTTAGTTGAAAAGGAAGTAACAAAGGATACAGACAGATTGAACATGTATGGTTTTACACATGGGCCCCCAGGAAGATGTTTCTGACACTGATGGCTTCTTTTAAAAGTTGGAGTATAATCCAAAGGTATAAAATAATTAAGAGGCAACAACTATTCAAGGTGTTTGTTTGTTTTTAACAACAATCCTATGATGCAGGTTAGGGTGAGAGAACTGATGACTGGCCCAAGGTCACCCAGTTTCGCTCACAGTAACCTAACTAACAAAACACTTTCCCTTCCCATCCTCCGCACTCCTACCACAGCAGAGAAATGAAAAAACTCTTTCAAACCGGTCTGAAACCAAATCTATAGGGCCCCCTTGGACAAAAGCCCTTAGGGGCACCCTAGATCCACACTGCCTCCAGAGCGCGCAGAGGACAACTCCCTCCCGGCCTCAGTTCCTGCTCGGAATGACACGGCCGCTGTTGGAGAGGGAAGAAGGCAGGCAGTCCCTGGGAGTCCCATCACAGCGCTCTGCCTCATTTGCATACCGCCAATCAGCAGCCGGCGGGGGGCGGAGACTCCTCGGGAAGGAGGAGGTGCGAGGCTGGCCGTCCGCGTCGATAGGCGATTGATCGCGCCTGGCCGCGCTCCGTCCATGCCTGCCTGAGGCAGGGAGGCAAGGCAGGGAGGCCGGCCGGGTGGCCGGCGGCTCGGCGCTCCATTGTTCTCGCCTCTCTGGGATGCCGCCCGCCGAGCGCTGGCGGCGGTGTGGGAGACCATGCTGGGTGGCGTCCTCCTCCTCCTCCTCCTCGGGATGGAGGCGGGTCGGGCGGCCGGGCAGTGACCGCGAGAGGGGGCGGGTCCTCTGGGGAGAAGCGAGCCCGGCTGACCCGGCGCGGCTGGACTGACCGAGGGCGAGGGGGGCGGTTCGGCTGGGGCTGAGCCCCACCGCGGGGGAGAATGGAGCCGACTGACCGAGGGGGGTGGTTTGGGTGGGGCTGAGCCCCACCGCAAGGGAGAATGGAGCCTGGCGGTGCCTCTGCAACGCGGCTGTCAGACGAAGGAGCGGATTCCTGCCTGGAGCGCCTCAAGAATTCTCTGCCGGGACCTGCCGACCTGGCCGGGGCGGCCAGCACGCTGGAGCGGATCCTGAGAGAGTCGGGTTGCCAGCTGCAGGGCTGGCTGCGGGTCTACGGTGAGGAAGGGGACCCCAACCCTCCGCCCCCCCCCCTCTCCATCGCTTCCCCCCCACGCCCCAGTCCACCTTTAGTCTCCCTCCCCAAGGGACCAGATGCCGGGGAGGGGGCTTTTCCCGTCCCTGCCTTCCTTGCAAGAGTTGACTGTGCCTTCCCGTCTCCTTACTCGCCCCCTGACCTTGGGCAGGGGAGAACCACCAGCCGTCGCTGGGGGGGGGGGGGGAGCCTACATCCCCAAAAGGACAAACCCCCCCTGCCTCCCC